GAGAGAGAGGGAGAGAGAGAATCCCAAGCAGGCTCTGCACTCAGCATAGAGCACGACTTGAGGCTCGATCTCACAACCATGAGATCGTGACCTGAGCCAAAATCAAGAGTCAGATGCTTAACCGACTGAGCCACCCAGGCACCCCATCCATGGATTTCTTTCAATACTTGACCTTAATCCAATAGAGCTAATTTTTCTTCCTGAGGTGCTAGAGCATAGTTCCTCTATTTGAACACCTGAGGAAGGAAATGGCTTATGTTTATGGGCCATGTTGAATGACATATATGTTTTCTTCTGTTTGTTTTCTAAATATGTACAGTTGAGCTCTTTTTTGTTTGTTTCTTCCAGTTTTATTGAAATATAATTGACATATAGCATATAAGGTGTTCAGCATAATGACTTGACTACGTCAGAGTTAAGTACTTTCAAGGTCGATTCATCTGGGTGCAAACTTCCCTTTGTTATCTTCACAGGAAATTGACAAGATGGTTTTTGGAGAGAACCTTTTGATATTGTACCTGCCTTCTATTGTGATCACGCTGGCCAATTTTATCACCCCAATGATCTTTGCCAAAATCATCCACTATGAGGATTATTCCCCAGGCTTTGAGATCCGGCTGACAATCCTTAGGTAATGCCTAGACATGCCAAGCAGATCACCACTTGCCCGCTTTCTTGCTCATGGCAGACATTGCTGATCAATTGTGGCACCTTTTCCTGCTGAGCCAAGAGGCCTGTACAGCCTTCAGACAGCCCCTGTGAATGGATCGGAGTGTGCCCATGCAGTGAAATCTCTTTGACTTAAGCATGTACTCAGTGGTACTATATTTTTTGTACATGTGTTAGCATATCAGCAGCCGAGGGCATGAGGTGGGGGCCCTGGGAGGCGGTGTTGCTCGGAAGATGTTAGAAATGACAAGTGTTTACCAGCAGGGGAGTGAGGGAATGAGAGAGAGAGAGAGAGAAGGAGTAAAATGTATCTTATTGGAGCTGTTGGCAGCTGGGGCTCAGTCCTACTGGACAACTGGGAGTTTGGGTAGGAAAGCTCTTAAGAGTGTTCCCACCCAACAAGGTACTCATCCTGGACTTCCTAAAGGTGGCTGGCTCCCGGAGGCATGAATTCCCTCACACTGTCACCTCACTATCCGGTGTAAGGGCCTTGGGAGGAGAGGGGAGGAGAGTCACAGGGGTTTATTGCACGAACCTGCCTGAGGCATCTACTGGTATAGTGAGTACCAAGAAAATGTGGCTAAGTCACTGACCAGATGTGTTTCAGCTGACTTCTTATAACTTGTAATATCTCTCTTCATTCTTAATAAATGTTCAGTTTCCTAGAAAAAAGAAAGAAAGGACAGCTGTAAAGCAGGGCCTGGGGAGCTAACACAAATGAGCTGAAGAGAACCAGGTGGGGACAGTGTGAAATAGAGCATTTCATACCTCAGAGGGCATTTGCTTCTTAAAAACAAATCTTTTTTTTTTTTTTAATGTTTATTCATTTTTGAGAGAGAGAGACAGAGCACAAGCAGGGGAGGGGCAGAGAGAGAGGGGGAGACAGAGAATCCCAAGCAGGCTCCAGACTCTGAGCTGTTAGCACTGAGACCGACGCGGGGCTCGAACTCACAAACTGTGAGATCATGACCTGGGCTGAAGTCGGATGCCCAACCGCCTGAGCCACCCAGGCGCCCCCAAAACTTTTACAGAACAAAAGGTATAATGAACCCCCCATATGCCCATCACTTAGTTTCAATCATTACCAACATTTGGCTAATCTTGTTTCACCTGTCCCGCTCCCCAACTTTTGCTGGATTATTCTGCCCAAATCTTATTTCACCTTTTTTTTTTTCTTCCTTAACATACTATCATCATACCTAATAAAATCAAGCCAGTTACCTGATGAAGTTGCAAATGGCTTTCTAGGATTGTTTTGTTCAAACCAGGATCCAAACAGGATCCACATGCTACGTTTGGTTGTTATGTCTCTTAAGCCCCCTTTATTCTTTTAAGAATTCCCCTTCCCCTTCTTTATGCCATTGATTTGGGTGGACACTGGGCAGTTGTCCCGTAGAACATCGCCTAGTGTGGATTTAGTTCATTGTTTCTTCGTGGTGTATTGTATCCTCCTGTTGCCTACAGTTGCTCTGAACTGTGTCAAATCTGACTTTTCATTAGATTCCATTTTTAGTGGTGGGCCCATCCCCAGTGGTGCTGGGTACTCACATTCTGCCAGGAGGGACACAACGTCAGGTGGCAGGCTATGTATCCAGAAGAGTGCTTTGCTCTCCCCTCCTAACTTTTTCATATTTCTGTTTTTTTTTACAAGCAAACAATAGAAAAGCATCTTTAAAAAAGGTTAGCCCACTCTGTCCTCCTGTCTTTGTTTATTTGTGAGAGAAAGAATGCATGAGAGGTGCAGAGAGAGAGGGAGGCAGAGAATCCCAAGCAGGCTCCACACTGTCAGTGCAGAGCTTGACATGGGGCTTGAACTCACAAACCTTGAGATCATGACCCGAGCCAAATTCAAGAGTTGGATGCTGAACCAGTTGAGCCACCCAGGCACCCCTGCCCTCCTGTCTTGAATCCTGCTTCCCCCAGGCAGCTCTCATCTGCATGGTTGCCATTGTCCATCTGCCTGTTTTTGTGTTCTTCCAGAAACAGGATCCTATCTAAGTGACACTCTGTAACATGCTTTTTCCATCCCCAATATACCAGACATCTCTCAAAGCTTCTACTTAGAAGACACAATTAGTTCCCTTCAGGAATGTGTAATGTTCTGTAGTGTGGCCGCATCGTCATGGATGCAGGAATTCCCAGCTTTTTGATCCCCCCCCCCCCATTTAAAAAATTGTAGCAAATTACATATACAGCATGAAATTTCCCATTTTAGATATTTTTAAGTGTACAATTCAGTGGCATTAAGTACATTCCCAGTGTTGCTACCAGCACTACTATCCTTTTCCAGAACGTTCTCATAATCCCAAACAGAAACTCTCTAATATTTCTAGATTTGCTTTGAAGCTTTTCCACTCGTAGCTTCAGTTCCAAGGAGCCGGCCTGCCCTGAGGCCTCCTCGTCCTGTACCCTCCCCTCCCTCTTTTCCCTGCAGGTGTGTGTTCATGCGCCTGGCCACCATCTGTGTGCTGGTATTCACCCTGGGCTCCAAGATTACATCCTGTGATAACTACTCCTGTGAGCTCTGTGGCTACAACCAGAAACTCTACCCGGTGAGGCTGCAGGGATGGGGGTATCCTGCAGGGTGGGTCATCCTGGGGTGACAGGCTCAAGGTTAAGAGAACAGCCCTCAAACCTCTGGGTTTGAATCCCAGATTGGCCCACTTTCCTGCTGTATGGCACAGTGCGACACAGGAGACACTTCTCTAGGCTTTGAAAACCAAAGTCTGTGCTGGAGCTCAGAGGAGCATCTGCTGGTGGCCTCCAGAGGTAGCAGGATCTGTGGGCAAAAAGGGCTCTGGAAGGAATCTGAGAACCTGGCACTCTTTCTCTCTTTTTTTTTTTTACGATTTTATTTTTAAGTAACCACTCCACCCAGTATGCAGCTTGAACCCACAACCCCGAGATCCAGAGTGCATGCCCTACCAACCGAGCCAGCCAGGAGCCCCAAGGGCCTCATTTTCTCTTGATCTCTTTGGTTCCAGTGCTGGGAGACCCAAGTTGGACAGGAAATGTACAAGCTGATGATCTTCGACCTCATCATCATCTTGGCCGTGACGCTTTTTGTGGATTTTCCTAGAAAGTAAGCGTGAGGGATACCCCTCTTATTTCCCCTACCCCTCCGACCCCCTCCCGAGTCCTCGCTGGAGGCTCCCACCACAGCTGCTTCACAGAGTGCTGACAGAAATCACCAACAACCATCTGGTGACTTTTAACTTGCTCTGGGCCATTGACCTCATGGTCCATTAGGTGCCCCCTTGAAAGGCAGCATAAACAGAAATGGTGCTGCTTTCCATGGGGCTTCCGTGGAGGTGGCTTCCAGCCATTAGCACAGCCACTGTCAGGGGAGACCTGGGTTCATCCCCCAGGACTGCCACTTGCTGGTCATGTGACCTTGGGCAAATTATTTAAGCTCTGTGCCTCTTTTCCCACCTGCGAAATGGGGATGGTAGCATTAGCCACTTGACTGCACCGTCGTGAGGATCACATGAGAAAATGCAGAGATAAGTACTGAGCACTCAAGAAAATACTATCACCACATGATCGCCATTATTTAAAAAAATTAAAAAAAATTTTTTCTTAATGTTTATTTGAGAGAGAGAAAGAGAGCATGAGCAGGGGAGGGGCAGAGAGAGAGGGAGACACAGAATCCAAAGCAGGCTCCAGGCTCTGAGCTGTCAGCACAGAGCCCAATGTGAGTCGTGAACTCATGAGCCTTGAGGTCATGACCTGAGCTGAAGGTGGACACTCAACAGACTGAACCACCCAGGTGCCCCACATGATCACCATTATTTTGTCATCATACTATTATTGGCATCTCTTTGAGCCTTAAGTGAAACTGTTTACTTAACCACTTTTTTTTACCCAGGTGTACAAATTATTCAGGCATGTCAGAAGTCCAGTAAGCCCTTCAAAACCAACCTTAAAAAAGAAAGTGTTCTTTTAAAAACCTACACAAATATGACATGAATATGTGCTTATTTAAAAATGTTAAATATTTAGTATTTAAATAAATACAGAAGTCCAGAGAATAGTGAGACTTCTCTTTTGTTACTGTCCCCTTAACTCCCCAGTCCTACCTTATTTCTCAGACGTGGCCATTGGGGTAGATCCAGCAGTCCGGGGGCATCTGGGTGGCTCAGTCAGTTAAGCATCTAACTCTCGATTTTGGCTCAGGCCATGATCTCATGGTTCATGAGATCCAGCCCTGTGTCCAGCTCCATGCTAACAGCATGAAGCCTGCTTGGGATTCTCTCTCTCCCTCTCCCCCTCTCCCCTACCCATACATGTGCATTCCCTCTCCCTCTCCCTCTCTCAAAAAAATAAATAAATAAAAACAAAGACACATTTACATAACTACATGTATAAGTAAACACACAGTCTTGCTAGAAGTGTTCTTTTTCCGCCTTTAAATGGGATCACGGTACATCTGCATTGGTCTGCAGCTTACTTGTTTTCCTCCCTTGCACACACAAAATATCATGAATAACTTTCCAGTCAGGACACATGGATTTTCCTTGTTCATTTTAAGGACTGTATAATGTTCCACTGTGTCTGTGGCATATAGTTTGTCAATGTAGCCCCTACTGATGGTCATTTAGGATGTTTCTAGTATTAAAAAAAATTTTTTTTAATGCTTGTTGTATTTTTGAGAGAGAGAAAGAGAGAGGGAGAGAGAACATGAGCAGGGGAGGAGCAGAGAGAGAGAGAGGAAGACACAGAATCTGAAACAGGCTCCAGGCTCTGAGCTGTCAGCACAGAGCCTGATGCAGGGCTTGAACTCATGAATCATGAGATTGTGACCTGAGCCGAAGTCAGTGCTTAACTGACTGAGCCACACGGGTGCCCCTGTTTCCAGTATTTTTGCTAACACGTGGCAATCCGCAGTGAACAACTATGTGTGTTAGTCACAGGCCCCTGCTTCTGGAGTTTCCGTGGGAAGATTCTAGGATTCCAGGAAGCAGTTATGCTAGGTGGTAGGATTCTCATAAGCCATTTTCTGTGTGAATGCACATTACTTTTTGAGCCAAGTGGCAAGCCAGAACACAGAGACTGCCATTAATGGTCACCACAACCTGGTGCGGTAGGTTGTGTTATAATTCCCCTACGTTCCATATGAGGAAACGAATCTCATCTAACCTTATCTGTCTGGTAAACTGTAGATCTGAGATTCAGACTCTGGTCTCAATGATTCCAGAGTTCACGGTCTTCTGCATCTAAACATATGACTAACCAGTTTCCATGAGAAATGTATGTGGAAATAGCCGTGATTTGGGGGACGTGGTTCTGTGGCCTTGGCAGGGTACTGGCAATCCAGGTGAGGAATTGTCCTGTTTGTTTCCAGGCTCCTGGTGACCTACTGTTCCTCTTGGAAACTGGTTCAGTGCTGGGGACAGCAGGAATTTGCCATTCCTGATAACGTTCTGGGGATTGTTTATGGGCAAACCATTTGCTGGATTGGAGCCTTTTTCTCCCCTCTTCTCCCTGCAATTGCAACCTTGAAACTCATTATCATCTTTTATGTGAAAGAGGTAAGGAGAAGGTTGGGCAGGGGGCTGATATTCTGGACCATTCTTGACCTTTCAAGGCATTCGGCAGTCGTGTGACTGGAGCCTATCCACGTCCCATCAGATGTATCAAAACTACATTCCTTATTTGATACATATTTTTATTCTGGAAAAAAAGACTTTGAATGGATTTCCACATTTTTTAGAATTTTGAGAGTCTTAAGATTTTTTTTTTTTTTTTTTTTTTTTTTTTTTTTTTTTTTGCTCCTGTGATTTAAATGTTTTTTTTTAGGTAACCATCTAAAAGTTGAGCTGTAATTGATCCATCAGTTGGTAGTGGCACATCTGGTGATGTTTAACAAAGCATTTATTGGGGCGCCTGGGTGGCGCAGTCAGTTAAGCGTCCGACTTCAGCCAGGTTACGATCTCGCGGTCCGTGAGTTCGAGCCCCGCGTCGGGCTCTGGGCTGATGGCTCAGAGCCTGGAGCCTGCTTCCGATTCTGTGTCTCCCTCTCTCTCTGCCCCTCCCCCGTTCATGCTCTGTCTCTGTCTGTCCCAAAAATAAATAAACGTTGAAAAAAAAATTTAAAAAAACAAAAAAACAAAGCATTTATTAATTTAAGTTTTGTCATTTTCTGTTTAGATGTTGGAGGCATTGTATTTATTTTCAGGTGTCAGTTATTTGTGTAGCTCCTTGAAGGGCTCACGGGAAGTAAGTATTGTGTCTGAACTAAGTGCTGAATGGATAGAGTGGCCCTGCAGATGACTGACTGATCTGGGCTTCATTACTGAGCCTCTTTTATTATTATTGTTGTTATTATTATTATTGTTATTATTATTATCATTATTATTACAGAAGCAATAGATGCTCAATATCAAACATTTAAACAATGCAGATATGTATACAGTAACTTTCATCCCTTCTTCCAGAGGTGCCATCTACTAATAAGCCCCACACTTATTAATTACCTATTATGCCAAGCCCTGAGGATTCAGAAATGGAAATAATAATTATAATATTAATATTCATAATGACAGTAATCATAATGATAAGAATACCATGTACTCCCCTGCCCCGCTGAACACTTTCCATAGGCTATCATATAATGCTTATACACATCTTTTGAAGTAGGTACTGACGTTAATCATATTTTATAAATCAGGAAGCTGAAGTTCAGAGAGGTTAAGTAACTGGTCCGAGGTCACATAGCTTATAAGTGACTCCAGGTTTACTTCACTCAAGACCTAAGCTATTTAATCCTTAGGTAAGCAGAGCCTTGAATTGAGCCTACCCAGATGTTTTGGCCGTTGAAGAATGTTCTGATGCTTTCATTTGGAAACTTCAATTGGTTGAAGTAACCGAAGGAGAGGTGGATGTGAGAAAACATACAGGAACTTGTTCCCTTTCCAGAAAATATTGGTTACCCAGTGCTTTCCTGGTGTGTAGCCCAGTAAAGATATGTGGGAGTAACAGAATAGGTCAGGGGCGCATGGCTGAGTTCTGACACTACAGGCCTGACCAGCTAGCCACCCCCAAACAGGACACCGGGGGTCCCTAGTACTCTTTGCCGTCTGGCTCAGATGATTTTCTGGCTTCTGCTGAAGTCAGAACAGCTTGCTGCTCCCTCCTGGTAATGTATTTTTTAAAAATATTAAGGGGAAATCTTATGCCTATTGCTATACCTTTCACCCCCTTTCCACTTGATATTTCCACAAGTCTTTTTGGCCCTGATGGAAATATTTGTTTTTAATATACAGGAGAAATAAATGCTTATAAAAAATTCATGTAATGAATTGTATGTTCTCATGGATCCATTTAACGCATAAAGTCCTGTAAAGTTTTTTTAAAAACTTAAATGAGATCATACAGCACAGAGTTCTGAAATCTGCCCTTTCATTTCATAGTACTGTCAGGGCAGGACGCAAAGCCCATATCCTTTCTACCGGCTCAGGGTATTCCATTGTGTGGATGCACTTTAACCTTTAAGTGACCCCTGTCGATAGCTCTTTCATTGCTTCCAGTTACTCCCTGATATCAGTAACTATAGCAGTAAACATCCATATACGTGAACTTTGGCCCATTTATTCTATTTTCTCATCAAGATGAGTTTCCCAGCGTTGGGGTCTGGATTAAACATGTTTCATTTTCATCTGTATTGCTGACTACCCTCTAGAAAAGTGGCATCAGTTTACATTCCACTGGGATGCATGAATGTGCTCATTTACCTTCAAGGAAGCTATGCTCTTACTTTTTTCTCTTTCTTTCTCTCCCCTTAGATAAGTCTTCTTTACACCTGCCGGCCCTCCCCAAGGCAGTTCAGAGCATCCAATTCTAATTTCTTCTTCCTGTTGGTGTTGCTGATAGGGCTGTGTTTGGCAATAATACCTCTGACGATCAGCATGGCACGGTAAATATGATTTTGTTTTCGAGAACATTTCCTTGCTTCTTGACATGTTCCTCTTTTATATTAAAGGGCCCGTTGTGTTCTTTATTGGTTTTCCAAATTCATGGCGTTCCACCTGCAGAAGTCAGTAAGTCACTCCTGGTTTAGCCAGGCCCATCGTTGTTTTGGAATCTCTCTCTGGATGCTGGAATGTCTTGGTCCACTTCCAGAACTTTGGCTGGCTGTGTTGCCAGTGTTTTAGAGTACTGGTTGGGTCTGCCCTCCCCCACTCCCTTTTCCTAGGACCTCTCTGCTGGTATCCTTTTGGATTATTTCTTTGTTTCTGATTACAAAAATAATACATCTTCATTATAGAAGAATTTGGAGTATCTTCATTGTGACAGGCACTGGGCTCGGTGCTGGGAGTATGGAGACGATTCAGACATGGCACAAGGAATGTTGAGTCTAGTGTAGAATTTGGTAGGAGCAGAAATGCTTAAGACTAGGGATCAGAAGTTGAGTGTTCAGACCCCAGTGACCCTACTCCTTAAGAGTATAACCATTTATACCAAAGGCCAACAAACATTTTCTGTAAAGAGGAATCCTAAATATTTAGGCTTTGTGGCCATATGGTGTTGGTAGCAACTGTTCAACCCTCCTGTGGCATCACGAAAACAGCTGTAGACAGTATACAAACTAATGGGCATGACTTATTCCAATAAAACTTTACTTATAAAAAACAGATGGTGGGCCACATTTGACACTAGGGCTATAGTTTACCAGTCTCTCTGACTTATATTCTCATGGAATTCCATTTCTTCATCTTTCAGTTAAAATCCTTGAACTTTTCTGTCTCTCAGATTTTATTTTTTAACCAATTTGACTGTATATCTTTATTGTTTTTTATTATAGTAATAGATGTTATGTATAAAAAAACTGTACACAAGGGTGTAAATGAAAGAGAAACAAATTTCCCATTATCCTCCCTTAGTTGCACTCCACCAAGGTAACCACTACGAATATTTTAATATTAATATTTAATATATTAATTATTCAGTATATTAATATAAATATATTACTTCCAGAAATTCATATGAACACTATTTATTTTTTAAAATATTTTTAATTTAAAATCATTAACATTAAAAATTAATTAAAGTTAAATTAATTTAAAATTATTAAAATATTAATTATTTGATATATTAATAAATGTATTTATTTCA